TACCTGTGTGGGTTGGTTTACATGAAGATCCTGAGCAACCTTTAGTTTGGAGGTGGATAAATATAAGGTAAGAATTTTGTTTGAGACTGTTTATTGTGACAAACAATTAATTATGTTAATATTTATCCAACTAAACTTCTCATTATCTACGTGTTTGTTTCAGAACTGGAGAAGGTGTGACAGGAGAGGACGTCTCACTGAGCATAAATTGGGCCCCATCAGAGCAAATCGTTGGGAGCTGTGGTTTATATTCTAGTCAAAAGACATATTCTCAGAGAAATTGCTCAAAAGTTAATAGATTTCTCTGTGTTGATGACAACATGTTGCTCGTGACTAAGAACAAGACATGGGAGGATGCCCTGAGTTACTGCAGGAACTTAACAACATCATCATATCAATATGATCTKCTGAGCTTGACAAACTCATCTGACTACAGCTACCTTAGAGACAGGATCTTCAGAGCCACCACTGATGAGGTTTGATAGCTGAAAYATGTGACAGTAACATAATTATTTGGGTTTTACAATTACAAAATTAAAGCACTTCCATCATCCTAGTCCATAACCTTTAACCAGATCTTTATTAGTTTGAGTTTTTATTTTTTTAAACTTGTCATATTTTTCAGGTTTGGACAGGTTTGCGCTTCCTGGGAGGAGAGTGGTTGTGGTCAGACAGTGAGACGTTGGACCATGAAGAGATGCTGCCAGACTGTCCGAACCAGTGGCAACACTGTGGGACCCTGTCCAAACACAACACAAACAACTGGCTTACCAGGGACTGCTCAGAAACAAGAAACTTCATCTGTTCCCGTATAGAACTGACTTAAACAAGTGATGTAGAAGATTATGGTGGATCTATTGATTGTATGATTTCTGTTAGTTTCATTATTACAGTCTACTTTGCATTGATTATTTTTTGTTGGAAAATATAATTTTAATCATCATTGTGAAAATGTTGGTCAACGGTGGCAAAACAGAAGAATTTTGAAGAACACACAGACAGGGTTAAAATATAATATTAAGCTTTAATGTTTTTTGCAAAATAGGCTATGTTACTTAAGCAAAAATAGAAAACATAATTTGGAGAATGGCTTTTTCACAAAATACTTCAAGCCTGGACTTCTGACCAGCTTTGTGTGATTTCTGAATAAACCAAGGCATCAGGAAAATGAAGCCAMCTCACCCTTATATGGGCTTTTGTGCTGCAAATTGACAGCGCTTTAATGGTCCATGTAAAAGGTAAACTGGCTTTTCAGCTCAATAATGTCATGAAAAGAGGACATCTGGTCTGTGTGACCATTCAGCTGCAGGATTAAACAACAGCAAACAGATTTATTACTGATGGAAGTTTAACGATACGGCACAGCACTAAAAAGCATTAATTTATCATGTTTTGAAAATGATTGGTTTTGTGATATTCAATTAATGAGAGTATACTGTGGAAAGAAACTTGAGACATCAGAAACTGAATTTGAATTGCTCAGACTGATTCTGTAGTGGCATAATTTCAAATTAAAAGCATTGATTTGAAAAGGAACTTCACTAAATTGATACTGAATTTAATGGTTTGAATCTGAACAAATTTTTCTTAAAATTATATTTTGTTTGATTAAAAATTCAGTTAAAGTGGTGTGAAAATATCCTGTTTCTGATTTCTTTTCTTTTTTTTTAACGTTTGTCACACTTACACTGTAAGTGTTTCAGATCTCCAAACAAATTTAACTATCAGATCAAGATAACCAGTGGTGGGCACAGTTCCCCTAAAGCACTAAAGCACTAATAGGGAAACTAATTTTCTGATTGGTGCTTTAGTGCTTTTGCTAATTTTAAAATTTATTAGTGGATTAGCACTTGCTAAAATTATAGGCTAAATTTAGAAGCACTAACTTGCAGTTGTGGCAGAGTGGTTAGGAGAGTTGTCCTGGGACCAGAAGGTCACGGTTCAATCCCCCATCCAGCTGTCTCAGTTGTTGTGTCCTTGGGCAAGACACTTCACCCCTAATGCCTCTGATGTGTGTCCCATCAGTGTATGAAKGTGATTGGCACTGATTAGTCTCCATAGATGATTGTACATGTTAGCTTTGTAGAGACCTAATAGAGTGCTGTGTGAATGGGTAAATGAGGACACAGATTGTAGTGTGAAGAACTCTGAGTGTCCTGGTTGGGTAGAAAAGCGTTGTACATGTACAGTCCATTAAACAGAGGTCTATAAATGTTATTGATCAGCGTCAATGTTAACAGCTGACAGTGAAAGCTGTYGCACATTTTGTTCATATGTGCGTCACTTATCCACTAGGTGACACACTGACATACTGATAATATATGAACACAAAAAAGGCTGTGGAATGTCAATGATAAGTCTTAAGAGAGCAACATGGTRATATGCGACTCATGTTGTCTGTTGAAGAATGTTCATGGATTGACTGGGTTCTTTTAGTGCTTTAGAATTAGCTTTTGCTAAAACTTTCAGTGCTTTCGTGCTTTAGAATTAGGGGACCTAAATATTTGAGTTAGTGCTTTAGAATTAGGGGACCTAAATWTTTGAGTTAGTGCTTTAGAATTAGGGGACCTAAATATTTGAGTTAGTGTTTTAGGGCTAGTGGAACTAATTTTTAGATTAGCACTGCCCACCACTGAAGATAACACAAGTAAACACAAAATGGAGTTCATAAATGAAGGTCTTTATTTTTGAGGGTAATAGAAGTCCAAACATGTAGTGGATTCACAGACTGGGCTTTAATAAACAGTCTTACAGACCACTTACACATATAGCTGAACAGAACAACCTCTCTCCCTCTCTCTCTCACACACACCCACCCACCCAC